AGATTGTGAGTCGAGCGCCTTATCCACCTGGCCATGCCGGGCGTATTCAGAAAGAATAAACCAGTTTTATTTAAGAAAGGACTTGTGTCGGTAAAGTTTCTTCGGAAAGAATTTTTACGGAAAATTAACTAACGACCAGAGACGTAACAGTTGGTTTTTGTAACACAATTTATGCCCTTCTATGTTTCATACAAGAACACAATAACACCCATTGTGTGATAACGTATTTTGGGTGATAGTTTTGGCATATAAAATAACAGTCCAGTAAGTTTCATTTGTCGTTATAGGATTTAGTCTCGGTGTGAGAGTCGCAATGTATGTAACCCCTATTTCAGTAATTGGACAGCGAGAGGGTTAAAAACCGACCTATGGTTTAGGAAAGCCTCTCATCCCAGGAGCCAGTAAGAATGAACGAAAAGCTGTAATCTGATTAGTAAGTATGATTAATTTTCGTGAATAAGCGATTTGCTTTACTTGTTCTCTTGTGTGTGTATGTGTTTATTTCTTTTAGTGCCACATTTTGAGTTATTCTCTATGTAAAATTTCTTGAATCGGCGTTTACTGGATACTTATAAATTTCTCTGTCAGACATCAGTGCACTTGACCACCACATTACTACTCCATTGTTAAACTGCATTGGTTTTATTCTTCCTTTTAATTCTGACATTCATGCTCAACACAAGTGGTTGAATGAAAATTATATTAATTCTTCATGTCTGATTCTTAAATTATTCTATTTAATTACTTATGTGCGATGACTCCTAGAAATTTCATGAGTGTCCATATCTGACATGACGTTTCAAATTTTCTAGAGACTCAGGGGAAAATAACTTAAAACAGAGAGTTAATCAAATTGAGATCCAGTTAATCTGTGAGTTAGTTAGTAATACATTCAGTACTGTATTTTTTAAGTTTGTGCCATGGATATAAATGGAAGTTTAACAAATAAATATCTGTTAAGTTTTATTTTTATATTAGGCCTGTCAAGTAACATAATCTATAGAACTTATCAAAATATAACTACCAAATTTATCATGCATTTCAGACTACTATTTAATTATTAGCCAAACATTGTACTTCTATGTAGGGCAAAAGTAGTTGGACTGGTGAAAATTATTTATTGCAGATGTCTAGGTTGTTATTGGCTGATGCTAGCTTGATGATAAAGTGGAAATAACATATGGGCGAAGTCGTAATGTGTGTCTTTTCGGTGATAAGATCATGTCGTTAAGACCATTTACAGATTTTCAGTAGTTTATTGACGAAGTTGTGCACCTGCATTATGTCCCTAGGTACACATAAATATGATTCCTAGGCCCCAACTGTGTCCGTTTTTCCACAACCTTGAGTTCTGGACCCATTGGTACAGTATTAATTCACAAGGCAGCATACGTGTCTTCTAAATTCTACATTGGATATTTAACTATTGATTCAATCCAATACTAAATCCCTGACAAAACTGCAAGACTCAAAATTGAAACTTTCAAGCTGGGGTGCGTCTTTTTGGAGGCTAACTTGACAATTGTGGAGCAGGAATTTGACTCAATTTTAACTTCTCCAAATTAGATTCTATGAAAGTGGAATTTGCTTTATGCTAACACTAATAGATAGTAAATCATGTAAAAATATTATTTCTAAGGAACAATTTTGCTATCTTTTTATTAAGAGTGCATTACTAACATGTTATATTAACGTAAGTATCAAACTTTATTTCTATATAAATTAATTAAAATATAAAAAAGTTATCCACTCTAGCTATCCCTAGTTTGGAACTGGTAAATTAGAGGGCAGCAGTGGCGTAGCAAGAGGAAGGGCAAGTGGGGTGCAGTCGCCCCCTGGCGCAGGTGTGAAGGGGCGCAAAATTTCCTCTTTACTATAATGCCTATTAAATAATAATTATGCCCTCC